ACCCTCTGGCTTTCTTTAAAAAGGTTAATAGTCTGAGGAGGAATATATTTCAAACATACTTTTTAAATGACGTGTGAAACATTCAGGGTGACAAATGCAGAACATTTATAAAAAACAGCACATAGAATCCATACCACAAGTGCACACGCAGGCAAAAAATGCATAAAAGTTCATGAAACCTAAAAATAGTTCCCTTTATTATTTACATGGTTTGGGTAATGACAGGTGAAAAAGACTCAAGACCAGTATTTCCTGAATCCACCTGCCTGTAATATCTGAGATCGACATGTTAACATGGCACAGTGTGTAGCAATTAGGGCTGCTCGATTATGGCAAAAATGATAATCACGATTATTTTCACTGAAATTGAGATCTCGATTATTTGACGATATTTATTTAACCCTTTAAGACCTACCATAGAACCAAGTCCGCCAGAGCTTATATTATTTTTTTACATGCTGTAGTGCCATTTTTGGGAGCATTTCAAGTTGCTATACATCAATACAACTGTTATAGCCCATATTTTAATAATATGTATGCATTAAGTCCATAGTAACTACATTAATTGCAAAAAAGTGCAATAAACTACAAAAAAAATTGAAAATCGTTTTTGTTTTGTTTTTTTACATATATTTCTACTTGGAGAAATTTAAGAGGCTTATCCCTCAAAACTTTAAATACAAAAAAGTTGCAAAAAATAGTTTCCCACCACAGGAAATTTATTGTGAGTGTCTTCATAGTTTTACTTCGGAGATACAGCAATTTTTATATACTGCAGGAAAAACAAAAAACAATCCTATGATGCAAATTTGCAAAGAAAACAGCATGTGCATCAAAACAAACTATTTCCAACAGTGCAATTCGAGTTCTAAGCATCACAGAAACTATTCAGAAAAGTATAGAGTCAAACATGACTCATAAAAACACCAGTATACGCTTTTAAGGCCTACAAGTAAAAAAACTACATTATCTGCGAAAATGACGTCACTTCCAGTTTCGGACAGGGAATGGCAGACATGCGGTAGTTTGCGTTGACGTCTTTTTCATTGTGGGAAGTGTTACGAACAGCTGATCGGATCGGCAAAGTCTGTTTCTGGAATATTATGTTTTTGCTGCTGCAAGCGCTTTTTATGCAATTTCTGCAAAGCTTTATGTGGAAGGAAACCGTGACCTAGGGCAAGCTGATGACATAAGATGTAAGTACAACTCCTCCCGTTTCATATGCAAAACAAATTATTGCGCTAACTTACACGGTTCCGGTTCTACAGGGATTTAAAGGGTTAACAATAACAATGTATTGAATAATGACTTTAAAAAGATAATATAAAATAGTGTGCAAACACTGATAACAGTGCAAATGTTTGCAATATAAAAAATAAATGAAAAATGTAAACATCTATGTTTAGTGAACTTTGGAGTGTTGCTCTGTGGTGCAGCTACTACACCGTAGCAAAGTTTACACACTATGTCTACTTGATCCACGTCTGACTCCGCGAACCCATAATGTTTCCACACCACTGAAGTTTTTTTTTTACCTCTCTTTTCAAACAACGGCAGTCACTCTCCTCTCCAAATAACTTCTGGGGCCCGTTCTTCGTACCTCGCTAAGTAAGTTAGCTGGATTTGATTGTTGACGATTTTGCGTGATCCTGGATCGTTCGGTTCCCCGAAGCTCATCCGGGACTTGCTGTCGTAGCAACAGAGCCGTAAGCGTAAACCTGCTCGGGAGCAGGTTTACTTTATGTAAACAGGATTAGATCGCGGCCACGCAGGTATGTCCGCTTCATTTATACGAAAGCAACAGCGATATTCCACCACTGTTTCACCATAAATAAATATTATCAATGTAACTAAAGATAATGCAGCACTTGATCCTGTTATTGATTTCACACAGATACATACAGGTCATTTCCTAAAAAAGGGAAATGTACTATTAACATTCTATTACATGTATGTGATTATTACAGATGTAATTCATATTTCAGAGTAGTAATTGCAAATTACTTCGTGTAATCAAGATGGGAGACCACGGCTATAAAAGCGAAGGTGGATTTGGGAAGCCTGTCGCAGCCATGTCCTGTCCGTTTACGCGAGCAATCCATTGTGGAAGGTGCAAGATTGATAAGGAGAGTCCTCAGAATCCAGCGTATATTGCGGGATAGACAGGATCCTTTAGCTCAGCGCGACAGTGTGCTCATTGAGAGATATCGATTTTCCCGTGAGGGTATTATTTACTTAACCAACTTGTTGACGAGGGGGTGCAGGACCACCACCTGTCTTTTTTTTGCTCTGCCCTTTTCTTGGTTGCTGTTATGAACAAACAAACAGAGTATTCCAGGGTCTCTCTTTCCAAGAGACGAAAAGCAATATAAGTGGTAAATATTACCATTCTGTAGAATATTCTTATATTTATATATATATCCTGTTGTGGCTCTAATGTGAAAGGGGATATAATATAGCATAATATAATATAATGTAATGTAATATAATATTGGATAATATAGTGTGATATGAAATTACTTACGAGTTTAATTTGTCAGCAACTTTCTGCCAGCCCTCTCTCCTTGCTTTTGCAGCCTTTGCAGTGTTCCCTTGCGTTCTGATTAAACTCTGAAACTCCTGAAATCCCTCACTCAAGAGTTCTTGCTCTGCTGCCGAAAAATACCGAACGCGCTCCTTCGACATTTTCGCCGACCAATCAAAGGGTTGCCAATCAATGTTTCTACTATCGATGCGTAGCCCCTTTTACGACACCCAGTGATCTCACATTACTTCATCCAGCTGTACTAATCGTCAACAGCAGGTGTGTTCGGAGAACCGGATTAGCGAGCTCACGGTTAGCGCGATGATTTGATCTTGGATGTAGTAAGCAACGTACGAAGAACGGGCCCCTGCTTAGCTTTCCGAGCTTCCCTTGGGTCCTCTTAATTGTTGTGAGGCGTGTTCGAAATGCAGAGAGGTGCGCTCGATTTGCCACACGGAGCAGCGCGAGAGTAAAGCACGAGGGAGGGGCTAATAATCGGCTCAGTCATTTTTAATGATCGTTGAAAGCCCAGATCGTAATCGTGATTAAAATTCGATTAATTGAGCAGCCCTAGTAGCAATTATTCACCTGGAGTAGATATAAGCATTACAGTGGATGTGCAGGATGTTCATCATTTACTTACTGACGAAGGCATCTTCTTCACAGTTTCAGAGAAGACTTGGCCAAGAGGCTTCCAAAGGTGGAAAGCATACCGGCCTATAGATTAAACACAAGACATGCACAAGAATTTTAAACCAGAAAAAAAAGAAGAAAGCTTTCAAACTACAGAAATTTAAAAAAAAAAAAAATCTAATTCAAAATCAAACCATTATTACCTGCAAACCCTGCTGCAGCCACACCAAGACCAACTGCAATTAATGTCCGTCCCTGTCACCAAAAACGAAACATCCAGCTGTTAGCACACTGGGTCAGACAGGTCATTCGACACAGCTACTTGAGTAACTTCACTATTTAAAGTTAAACTTTATTGACTTGTGTCTGCTGATCGTGTTTACAGTGTTTTAAAGCAAATAACCTTTGCTTTAAAACAGACACATTTTCCTTTGGAGTTCTCTCTATCCCCTCCCATGATCCATAGCTTCAAAGCTGACTCTGGCTTTTCGTCATGTTTCTACAGAAAAAAAATAGGCCAAAAATGATGCTTTTCTTGCATCATTTTTGAATGGCCATTTTAAACTTCTAATATCTAGAAACCTACTTCAGCTAGGAACTTAAAATTTTTTTAGGGTGTATGTCTGGTACTAGAGCGCTACGAATAGAGACCTCAAGGTGAGTAATTATGCCCGAATGCCAGATGCTTCAAGCCCAAACTATTTGGACCTCCGATATCTAAGAACAGACTTTGAGGCGTGTTGCCGATTGTTGTTTACAATTTCTCATATTCGAGGCACGTGTTTTTGTTTTTTTCAAGCGTGTCTTTCCCCTTTCCCCTGTTCAAACCTCAGTATATTTTGCATCGTATTTTTTAAGCCTCACAATAAATATTAATGACATCTAAAAGAACCTCTGCAAGGGCTCTTGTCACACATGGCCTGCACTGTGTTAACCCATCGACATACAAACGTCACTGTTCCTTGGAGTCATACATGTAACCCCCATGTAGCTAGTTGTGGCTAACCAGGTTACGATTCCTCATCTACTGTTGTTTAACCCAGAGAAAATGAAGATTGCACCAATTAGCCCTGAAAGCTCGTGTCTGTGAGACATTCTTTAAAGCTTACTTTGCTCAGGTTAGTTCGCTAGCTTCTGTACCTGATGCAATAGACCGACGTACCGTTAGCGGTCATTGAGGTTACTTAACAGAAGCGTCAGCTGCTATCCAACCACCTCGATTTAGTTTGACAGACACAAAAGTCCTATGTATTTAAAACAGGTACTTACCAGCTGCCTGTCTATCTCCGCGTCACTTCTAACACTGGTTTTTGGAGAGTACTCAGTGTATCGCATCAGGTCTCCATCCACGGTCATTCCACCGGCGTTCGCCATGTTGCCTCACAACTGTTAAGAAATTACTAAGAGCACATCCGGTTGTGACTTTCACAATAAAGTCGTCATCTTTGTTGGAATGGGGACTGTGTGGCTAATTGCAGGGAACATTGAGATTTTTTTTGTTTAAATTAACTAAATGCCATTAAAAATCCTTTTCCTAATTTAAATGAAATAAACAGAAACGACAGTATGCTTCAAAATAGTTCAGTTAAAACACTGTTGGAGAAAAATTATTGGATCTCATGATGAAAATGCAAGTTTGCTTACTTGAAGTACAGCATTCCAGTCAAGTCATAGCAAACACCATAAATAAACCAACACTCACCCTACCACAACCCCCCCCCCCCCAGTAATAATAAAAATCTAAATAAAATCTGATGTTTCATCTCCAAAACATAAAGCCACAACATTATTGCACATGTGTGCTCATGTGTCAAACAACGCTATACAATTGTGTATATATCATAAATATATACACAATGCTTTTTTCTGAATACTATTGTCATGTTTAGCGCAGAAGAAACTGTAAAAATAGTGTTTTCCAAGGACAGCACAAAAAAGAAAAGCGAATTTTTAAAAAAATGCCACGGCTTTCCTATTGGTGTAAAAGTGAATCATGTCGACCAATAAAAACAAAATGATTTGGCAACACGTGGGATTTGGTTATTTAGCGAGAGGGGAAAGTTTTGGAAGTGACGGCAGCAAAAAATCCACCAATATAGACTATATTTATATGAAACAAGTATACTTACTGCATTTAATGTATTTTAACCATATATAATGCATATTACTTGGTTGTCTGGCTGTTATCATTTCTAACTTATTTAGATGACTATTACAATAACAGGGACACTGTTTGCTTTTTAATGTAGACAACTTTATTTTTATTTCAAGAAATGAAACTGATCATTTCAATTTTTCTGTGATGCCAATTCACAACAAAACTCGCCTGAAGGAACTTTATACTGTAAGCTGAAAACCCTCCATAAGGTGGAGAAATCCCTGACAATCAAGTGAAAGCATAGAGAAAGGAGAGTATAGAGATGAGAAATAACTAGTGGAAAGAGAAGAAAGACATTAATGATGTGCAGTGGTAGAATCACTGAAATACAAGATTGAGAAAGGGACCAGGGAAACCTATAGAGTCTGACAATGTTAGTGACATTACACACTGATTCAATATTAGTTTTAGTGGCCTCATTACTGCTGAGATGAATTTTAACAGTCTGTTTTTCAATAGCCAAAAGTTTTAAATTTGTTTAAGTGAGATTAAGTGAGGCACTCACATCATGTAAGAAAAATCAAGTGTTACTCTGCTTGCCCTTCTTTTGCTTCTCTGCAGCGGTGGTCCTCAGTCCGACTGTGATTGAAGGTGTTAACGGACATGTGGCTCCTGCCATCTTCGTAGTTTGCTCTGGCCCTCTCATTTGACCTGTCAAAGCAGTTTTGGTCTGGCTTCCTCTTACTTGCCAAGATGGAATTCTGTGTCCTGTAGCCACTGGTTGAGCAAGATGAACCCGTAGAATGATGGTATTTCTTCTGGTCATGATCTGACCTTTCACGTTGGTATGTTTTTTTTTTTAAGATCTGGGTCACTCGTATCCTTTTTATCTTCTTCCAGATGTTTTCTTTTCAAGTGTGATTTGATTGGAAATATTGGAAATGTGTGAGCAGTTTTACAGTGACTGGGCCTGATGAAGTTCAGGCTGCTCCTCTGAGAAGAAGGGTGGAGGCCAAGGGTGGGAGTTCTGTTGGGCAGGTTGTCTGGTGTCAGAGGTGGGCTGGTGCAGAGACCCACACCCTTCTGTCCCGCTGTCTGACATCCCTGTCTTCTTTATTTTAAAGCTGTTAATGTGCTCATAGCAGGACTTAACACTGCAGACAATGAATCATGCCATATGTTAAATTACTCATTTAAATGATAACAGCATTTTCACATAAAGCAAAGTAATATGTAATAAAATAAAAGACCAGATTATTTTTTATAACCTTATCACTATTAGAGTTCAACAAACATCAGGAGATCACACATTTCTGCGGTTTTATCTGCATAATCCTGAGGCTCGGTGGGGTGGATCTAAAGGGTGATCTGCCCACTATATGGTCAAAAAGTATACTTACATGTAAGAGGTCATCCAGAGATTTATTCATCTTTTCTCCACGAACTGAATACCAGACTCTTGGAAATACAGTTCAGATGTCTGAAAAGACAGTCTGAAATTTTCTTTGGGGGTTGTCCTTGAGTCTCCATCATGTATCTCAGCTGAGAGCACAGCATAACATGTAATCAAACAAGGAGTCCAGCACAGACGTTTAACTGACATGCATCATGTTATCAATCTTTTCTATTAAGCGTGAAATCAAATTCTTCAGAAGAAATAAAAAGCGCTCTTGTATTACTTTACTTACCATTGTAGCATCCCTGGCTGAATGATGGTCTCTTATACTGATGCTTCACAGAGGTTTTATTGGAAATGTTTTTATTGAAACATTCAGTGAAGACACCGTAAGAGCTAGGAGCAAACAAAACCAGCAATATTAATACCATAAGATCAAAGGAAACAAATTTCTCCTGCTCACATATAGCATATACATCAAATTTACATCACTCAATTCATTATATCACCTCACTAACTTACAACTACACATAAAGGTCAAGGTCAAGGTTAACAACATAAACTCTATTAAACGACATTTTGATTGCATGTAACTTATTCCGTTAAAGGAAACAGCCCAGGGACCATACATCTATGGCTTTTGTAGATGGAAGCCCCAGAATAATCTCCGGAGACCTGATGGACGACAAAGAGAAATGATTGTCACATTTTTTGTTTATGTTGACCATTTGGATAAGTATTATTTATACTACAGCTGAGAAACCCCTAACAGAAATCACAAACACTGGAGTTTGTGTGACTGTGTGAGGAAGAGATTCAATTTGATTCCAGCTACTTACCAGTACGGACAGGTCTGAATGTAAGAGCCCCACTTTGGCAGCTGAGGTGTCATAGGCGAGGTCAAAGTCAATAATTTTATTCAGTACGGCTCTTGGTGATATTTCACCAACATTACATTTTATAATTTCAGGTCTGCGTGTATTGTTCCAAGAGACTTGAGGTGATTAAGCACTATTCCAGTCTGAGAGGTATCAAAGAATATGTCATGTTACGATTCAAATTTGATCAGTATCCATTTTCAGAGCATTAATGTAAAGAATCATGGAGTTAATCATACCTGCACGACGATGGGACGAATTGCCTTTTAATTGAGCAGTTTGAAATTTATTCCTTTCATGAAGTCAAAAAGACTTTTTAAAGATATTCAAACTCAGGAATATATTTGGTTTGTTGGAGTTACAGGCGTTATGTTTTCACATGGCAGTGAGCTAGAAACATGAGATGGTTTTTACATTCGTTTAACAGAAAAAAACATTTTATAGGCATTTCATCACAGTCCTTACATCCACTGCACACATCTTTCTAACTGAAATTCTTGGGAGCAGTTTTTACCTCTTGGTTTTCCAATGGGTCTTTGGGTTCTCGTTTTTCATAATGGCTACAGCCTTTCTGTCAGCCATACTGACACATTTTGCAAATGTGCCATAAGACCCTTCTCAAAGGAGAGTTCAAATTTGGTACTTGGAGGATCTGGAGGTGAGCCAGCCTCCTGGGACTACCTTGTCCTGGGCATTGTTGGGGGACATGTCTGATAAAACAATAAGAGATAGAAGAGAAAAGCAGATTTAAACTTAAATTATAATGAAATAACATAGATGGTAAATACTAATGCGAATAGAAGATACTATTATAGACAAAAATACTAGTAAAGTATTGTGAGTGTAAACAAATCTGTTGCAAGCTGGATGAACAGACAGCAGATTATACACTGTACACACTAACCAAATTAATGTTTCTTATTTCTTCTTCAAAATGTAAGATGTGGTCAGTGTCATGTCAATCACAAATTTAACAATCCAACCAGAGAACAGATGGGTTTGGCTGTCGGAGTGGTGCTTTCCTGAGCTTCGGGTCCTAGAAGGGTAACCAGTTTGAAGCTGGAGGATCTCTAAATAAATACCCCATAAGGCTCATACAAGCTAGGTCCCTTAACTTTGGTCTGTAAAAATTGTAACTTGTGTAAATATTTTTTTATAAACACAAATTCTCATCTACAGATGCACAAACCTAAAATTTTCTGATATTTTGTGCTGTTCAAAACTACGCAGCCTGTTTACAAGTACAAAAGATTTATGACCACTACTTGAGCCCATACACATGGTTCTTTTTCCCATCTCAGCCACGGGACTGAAGGCAGTACTGCTAAGATCAAGAAACGCAGAGAAAAAAAAAGAGGAAAACCCAGAGTTGAACTGTGGGGAAAGAAAAGGCCAGCGCACTTGCTGGAAGTCCAGGGCCGGGTGACTGGATCAAGGAGAGAAGTACAGTTGTAAGATGGGTTATTTATGGAAGCCCGTTTCCGCCACTAAAAAAAAAAAAAA